CGGAAGATGAGTGAAATGTGTTGGTGTTATGAATACGAGCTGGAGGAGTAGCTGAGTAAAAAGTGGCAAAGATAATGTTAGAGCCGCAGTAGCAGCAGCATTTTCTCATGTGGGATAAAAATCTACTGTTGTAACGCTGACAGCCTTGGATGAACAAATATTTCATGTGTTGTCTGCTTCCTTTTTTGTTTCCACCACCCTGTGCGTCTTATCCACACACGGAAAAGAAAGATAGTTTTACAAGTGTTTGAAATAATTTTAGGTTTCAACTGTTAAAAGTTTTGTCCCTATATTTTCCTCAAGTTTGTTTTCAGTTTATTTTGGTCAAAATAACTTTGCTGACGATGCTAGCTAATTTGTTGCTTGGCTAACTTTTAGCCTTCATGGTCTAACATCTCACCTCCCCATCATTATTTTTAATTAACTTTTAGCACTAACAGGGCTGATGTTATTTTAAGTCTTTGCTTTTTAAGGCAAACCTTGGTCTGTTTTTATTACGTAGGTTGAACAGCCTGGTTTATTTGGAGGTTTTTGGTCGCTAATGTTTCACAATCTTTCACTCCAATCATTTGCTTTTTTGGCTTTGTTATTATTTGTTACTCCATAAAGTTAGTATTTTAAAATATTTATCATCTGTTAGCCTAATAATAGTCGTCCAGAACCATACTGATTGTCCCTTTCTCTCTGATTGTGGTCAACAGGTGACTTTAAGTGAATTGCATCAATAGCCTACCACATAGGACTTTCTCTTGTGTGTTTAAAAATGCCTTTTAGTTCATCCTACATATATCAAACATGTAAAATGTGTCAGCAAATGTGTTTGTTTTTGTTGATTTCAGCCATGCCTTGTAACATCCTTCTCTTCCCTTTAATTCTGCGTGTCGTTGTCGCAGACATATTTACAACCACCCCTTTTCAGTGTCCTTCATGTGACATCATCAGGGTTCCGGTTCAAACATCTTCAGAATCTTAAACGTGTCTGTTTGGATGTTAATGAATGAGATTTTCTTTTGTTGAAAGAAAAAGCCACTGGAAACCAGAATTAAACCAAGGTGCCTTTAGTGAAAGCATGTCAGGACTCAGTAGAATAAAAAAGAATAATAGTCTTGTGGTTTCTCTGCAGATGAGGTCAACAGGTGGCCTTACAAACAGGAGGGTTTGATGACCATACCTCACTGCCGATTCTATACCACCATCAGGTTTTAGCGTGGTTTGGTGACATATTTGTCCAATATATATAGTTTTTACTGAACGTCATATATTTGTGATGTGGGCTGGAAAACATACTGTTTAGGTCTACATGTCAATGTGTCCTTGGACAAGAAAATTATTTTTCTCTCAGTGAAGATAAAGCAAAGATTTTGCAAAAAATTACATGATTAATTTTTGTTCCAGGATGTATGTTATCCACAAAGATGATTTGATTATTCAATTTTAGTACAGATTTTTGGTTTTACGTCATTTTGTATACATTTTGTAGAGTGTGCTGTTCCAATTTCAGTAACCTGATGTTAAGCATGTGCACAGCATTTTGTGTTTTCTGTGATGACAGTTTTCCGACAATTGAATTGTCTAATTTGTGTTTTCTGTGATGACAGTTTTCCTACAATTGAATTGTCTAAAAAAACTCAATATATCATTGTGCCCATAGTATCAGAGTAAATTGCAGTATATCAGGTTTTTGCCAATACAAACCCCTAGCAAAAAAGGCATTTTGATGTTTTGATGAATGTGTTGCGTCAACAAGTCTTTGACGTCACGTCATTCAGCCAAACAATACAAGTGATCTGAGAGTGCAGTTTGAGTGAGACCTGCAGCAGGGTTAATGCAGCCTTAAGTGTACGTGCTTTTAAAATTGATGCAGCAGCTTCTCTGCTGTGAGTGTTCTGACGGGTCAGAAATCTGCAAGAGAAAAAACGTCCTAGGCTCTGAGATTAAATTGTTACAGACGTGGTTTATAGATTCAGCATTTAAGGAAGCATCTCATCTGAAAATCTAATTCTAAAGAAGTTAATGACTCTTTGTTATCGGTGCTCTGTCGGAGTCAGGGTCAATTACCCCTGCTCGTAGGAGAGCTGACGAGCAGCTTTCTTTTTTCATGGCCCACAACAGCAACTGTGCTTCCCTTTATCACACTGACTTTCCCATGAGGTTCCACTGACCCCACCTCCTGAAGTGTGGAACATCTTAATTGCCTGGAAAATGCTCAACTGGGCTGTAAGAGAGGGGAAAGAAAATCCTAACAACATTGGCCCTAATCTTATTCTGTCCTGTTAAGTTGCAGAAATACTAGACTTTTGATTCCAAGCCAAAAACCAGGAGTATATAAATTAGCATAAAACCAAATTATTTGTGATGTTAAATAATAAAGACATTGTGGAACAAATAAAGAGCACACCTTGTCAAAAAAAGTTTAATATTAGCCAGAATTATAGAATCAGTTAATTAATCAATTACCATGTAAAAAATTAAAAGATATTTGAAACATTTAGCACAAAATGGCAAAAAGTTCACCACAAATTTATTGAATTGGCAGAAAATTAGCCAAAAATACAAATGTCCATCTTTCTGTTTGTATTTTCAAAGTCCATTTGGACCTTTTATGTGATTTTTAGTTCTGGCAGATTCAACATCAGAGGAGTCGGATCCTATTCCAGCAGATCAGGCTCGGTGTAAGTCCTGGTGATATTGTTCCCCAGTGGCTGGATATAAGTGGCAGAAATCAGAAAGAAACAAAAACAATTCACAATGTGGTACACATTTGTGGCCTAATGATGATGTCCCCCACATGTGGTCCCTTATTATACCCACATTTCTTTGACTGGGATCTGGTCACCTTCACCAGGAGGCACAGCAAAGAAGCTAATGTTTAGCCAAACTAAAGTTAAACTCCAATTTTTCACACCAAAAATGGTAAAACATATAGAAATTCTTGAAAGGCAACTAACTAAAAAATTACCACGTTTTTGTTAACTCCAAATGCTCCAAAAAAGCAGAAAAATAACAATGGAAAGAAACAATAAATATTTAGTGTATCTGAAATAGTACAGTAAGCTTAAAACAACCAAATTAAAACATTACAACAGTTGTTAAATGCAAAATATTTACCCAGTCATGGAATAATATATGATTATGACAATACAGATTATAAGAGCACATTTTGAAACATTCATACACTCGCGTAGTAGTCCTGGAATATTTATACTTACCTCTTCAGCTTACAAAATTTTATATAAGGTATAAAATATATGATGTATTAAAATATATGAGGTATAAATATATTTATAGTGAAGTTAAAATCTAGTCAAGTTTGCAATAATGACCATATATTTTGGTTCATAGTGCTCAACGGCACCACAGCAAACACACAAAGATCTGGTAAGTCTTTACATCACGCGGCTGCAATATGTTTAATAATCTACCAACAGGTGCAACTTTTTGTTTGTTTATTTATATCTAAATACATTAGTTATGTACAGTTTGGTATCAATCACATGACAGAGACAGGGTCGCATAAAAAACAAACGCATAAAAAACAACATCCAACAAATTAAGACGCACACAAAACTGAGTGATGCTCTGAGCACATTTAATTCTCAGGATATAAATATTCTGGACCTCGTCCACTAGTTAAGAGTACTACCAGACATAATCCCAAATGAAACATCCATCCATTTTCATCTGCTTATCTATTACCGGGTTGCAGGGCAGCAGTCGCCACCCAAATCACACTGCACCGTATCAACCCCCCTGAACCTTCCTGCAGGTGGTGAGTCCACTGGAAGGTACCAACCACCTTAACTGGGATTCAATGGAGGTGAACCCTGGGGTTCCACACCAATGACAGAGACACTGCCTCTGGGCCAAAGCCCCCCCCAAATGAAACAAGTAAAACAAAAAAAAAACACTTAGTGCAACAGTGAAGTTTTTAAGTAAACTCTCCTTTAAGTCAGGTAGTTTTTCTTGTGGAAAAAAGGTAATGTGAAAAAGAGGATCCTGTTGAGTGAACAAAAGATGATAAATAATGACAGGGGAAGGTGAAGGAAATGAAGTTTTTTTTTTTTTGTCCTGGCTACAGATGATGTTGTTTGAGAAGTTTTATAAAACTAATCGCAGCCTCCTTTATTAGTTGACTTTATTAACATGGCTGAAAATGTCCTGTTGACTCGTGTGGCTCTCGGTCTCGGTTGTGTTTGATGGAATTTCTACTGAGTAGGTGTAAAAAGACAGACATGTCAGAGAGCAGATCATGTTTGTTTGATCTCTTCGCTGTCTGGAGGAAAGAAATAAACAGTGGGTGGAAGTGTGTGTGTGTGTGTGTGTTTGATGGCAGCAGAAAAGTGGGAGCTGATGTTCGACTGCACAGAATGCACTGAAGTAGATTTTGTTCTCAGGGATAACATGAAAGACTGGAAGTGAAATCTGTAGAAAAACCTGGGTTTGTGGGTGTGAGTGTGTCTGGGTCTGTGGTGCATATGTTTTACTGGGTTCAGGGCTGCTTAAAACATATATGAAATATGAATACATTGCTTTGTGGTTTAAATCATGTTTCATAATCAAGACTTTTAAGTGACAAAATATTTATTCTAAATCACAGTTCAAGCCTGAGGATAGGCGGGGCACAACAAATGGTTGATTCATTATAAAATATGACATTACATATTGGTAGTTCAATAAATTTGAAATGTGTAAATTTGTATTTTTTTTTTTCAAATGCTAGCAAGCAACTACCGACAAAAAACAAGTTTAAGTTCACCATAACAATATTTAAAATCTCTTATGGTTGTCCTAAAAGTTGGATTTGAATGATTTGCTTTGCACCAGTTAAAATGTTTCCTTTCCTCCACAACTGTTATATTTATTAAATAATAACCAGCATAATGTCTGGTGTCTGTAATCCTGTATTTTAAAGTCAAATCCAAGAATGGATCACAGCAGTCAATTACAGCTCTGTCTCCAAATCCATTCACTGAAAAGAGGCCAATTTTCTCTCTCCTCAGCAGGTTTGACTGAGTCGTCCTGCAGGGCAGTAATGTCTCTCACCACCTGATCATCACTGCTGACTCTTTGAGGCCTTTCTGTGCTCACACATGAAGTGAACGTGAGTATACACTCCATAATTGTAGAGTTTTTGTGACTTAATATCCACAATATCTCGGTTATCTGCACTTCTTTTTGCTTGAGTTTTACCAGCCCTCCTCCCATCAGGTCCCGGCTTTAAGCCACTTAATGACAATAACAGTCTACCAGGGGAGTGAGGTTGTGGGGAAAAAATTGCAGGTCTGTTCAATAGGTCTGGCAGTAAATTGCTTTTTAATGTGTCACACAATAGGCCAAAACAAAGCGGATTGTTGTCCGTAAGCTGCTGAAAGCCATTTAAGTGAGTGTGATACATGACTCACTGAAGGCTTCAGGTGTCAGTGCTGCTGTGGGAAGAACGAGGAGACTGTGGAGGTAAAAGGGCGGGGGGTGCAGTGGCGGTATAGCCAATCGTGGTGTAAGCAAGTTGTTGTTGTAATAGACATCTCTAGCACAACTATGCTGCAACCATAAAAATAGTTATTCAAAAGTTCTCTGTAACTTCATTCCATAAACTGTGAGTAAAGGAAAATAACGCAGCCGCCACAGACGGACTATGAAAATGGTTATACAGAGTGTGAAGTTTCCTAAACAGATTTTATTTTGTCATAATTCCTACAGAAAAGTAGAAATAAATTGTTGTTAATTTTTGCAACCCCAACACTTTACCTCAACGTGCTACTTATGACGGCAGTTTTTTTTTTTTGATTCTGAATGTGTTCCTCCAAGTGCTTGCGTTTATGTGTATGTCGGGTGTTTGTGGTTTTGGGGAGATAGGGCCCAGTTGATTTTGTTCCTTGGAGAGAGGTCGATGAATTTGAGATGAAACTTTTGACCTGGTTTCCATTACCACAAACATGTCATTAATCTCACTCAACTATTTTTCTGCCACCCCTGATCGCTTGTCCTTCAGGGCTTCTCTCAGGCGCTATTGCATTTTCTTGAAATCAACAGCAACCCAGGTCAGGCTCCCAGGTCAGGCTCCCAGGTCAGGCTCCCAGGTCAGACTCCCATATCAGACTCCCATATCCACACCAGTGCTGCTCTTTCCTTGGTATGTTGCTAGACTGGTTCGTACTGATAAGCATTGTTGACTTAGCAACATATTGGTCATGACTGAATTTCACCACACCTTAAAAACATTTCTGCAGCAATGAAAGAATATTCAGAGTCCCCAAAATCTTTGTGACATCATTCTTCATCTTTAATATTAGAATATCACATATGGAACTTTGTTTTTGTTTCCACCCTGGCTTACGACTCCAGCCATGGCGCCCTGTTGTTCACATCAACCGTTTGCCTTAAGCCCTTAGTGCCACATCTGCTGCATCACTACAACACAGAACCAGCCCTCAGTGGGATGATTCCCAACCAAGGTCTTCGCCTGAATAATATTAATTAAACCTCCTCAACTAATTGTGTGTTCCTTTTTTTTTTTTTTTTTGCTGTACACCAATTATGTTTTACATTCTCTGGAGGGAGGAAGAAGCGGGATCCGCCTGCTCACTGTGAAATTCCAGCTGTCATTGAATTTCAATGAACATATTTAATTAACATACACAGGCCACTGGAGCATATCAATATTTATTCCTGGTACAGACGAGACAACATTTGTTCTGCCCACCGTCGATGTGAGTTGACAAAGCACGTGATTGACTGGTGAAGAGAGGCCCTGAGCTGAGCTCCTCAGATGTATTTGTTGGTTGTTTTTTTTTTACGTTGCAGACATCAGGAGTGTGATGTGAATTGCCTCAGTTGCATGAATTTGGACGATGTAGATAGTAGATATTGATGTGAGTTCCGTCTCACCTCTCCTCACTCTACTGTTTGTCTCATGCTTTGTTGTGTTGTTGTTCTTCCCAGATGTGGTTGTAACGGTACAACAAAATTCATTCATCTTATTGATTTACTCTCTGCAACCTCTAATATCACACAGACAAACTGGTGTCATAACTCCAGAAATGAGAATGCATTTCAGAGAGTGATGGTCTCTGCCTGCATTAGTCAGCCTATAGGAGCTTTAGGAGACTGTTCATGGAACATGGTGGGATGGTATTGGGGGCTGGGGGGATCGTGACAGAGTGAGCTTAACTCAAACTCAGCTGCCATGCCATAGGCTGCTGGCTGCGTCCCTCCTCTTTCTCACCAGGTCAGCAGAAAAAGTGCACAAAACAGCATTGATCGATTCACCCATGATATGAGGAGGAAGATGAGGCCCCTACCTTAAGGCAGCCCTCAACTCTCCTCCTCTCCCCTATTTTTATTCCAGCTCCTACCTATTTTTTCTGTCACACATAATGAGGATCCAAACCCAGAGACGAAGTGAGAACCAAGAAGCCAAGACGAGACAACAGGAAAACAGGAGCTGGCGCCCGCAGACCCAGAGTGAAAACGTTACATATTTTAGCATAATACTCGACCGCTTTCCACCTTCATCACCGCTTCCCCTATGCCCGCCCTTCCCTCCCCTCCCTCCTGTCCCCTGTGCTTTCAGAGCTGTGTATTATTCAATGATGTCTCTACCGACAATCTGGTCCCAGAAGGATTCACAAGGTTGCAGATTTAAATGATGTCACATTTGTGTCCTGGCTAATGATTCCTTTTAGGGAGAGGTTTATAGGACTTGTGGAGGAGCATTTGATTCAACACAGGGTATAGTGGAAATGCACTTTACATTCAAGGACAATTTTATTTTATTTTTTTATTTTATATATTAGATATGTATCATTGGAGACAGTCATGCTCTGCAATGAGCAAAAGTTGTCTGTGAAAGTAGCTACACACAGTGTACTGTTTCTTATAAGCAAGTTAAACTCTGCAGTAGTCTTACAGGTTTGAAGAAATTCAGGGGGAAAGTGATTATTTTATGCTAAAGATGAACCCTTTGTACACTATGATGATACTATTAATACTATCCTACAGATACTAATACTACTAAAGTGTGTATTGACCAGTCCTGCTGTTTTCAAGTACAAGCTATTACAGAAAATTGGTAATAGATTTTAAACCAAACTCGATAACACATCAAAAGGTTTAGCAATTAAAAGGCAGTTAGAGATATGAGTAAAGTAAATTGAAATCATTAAAAAATAGAACTACAAAAAATGACCAAACTAAATTGGTCACCCAGAGGCGAGTTCAAACCATTGCAAATTGCTGAAAGATAACCAAGTAAATGCCTGAAACATGGGTTAAATAGAGCTTCATTCAGATTCATACATTGTAGCTAAAATAAATTATAAGTCAAAATAAAGACTGGGTTCTGTGTAGCCCTAAGAACAGCTTAAAATTTAACCCTGATGCAAAAGAAACAGAAAAAGATCAATATACCGTAGTAGGGTAGAAAGCTAAAATGCCATGGCTAAAGAAAAAATCAAAGATTTAACAAAGGCCGCATTTAAACAAGTTATTTACCAAATAAAAAGCTTAAACTTAAACAAAAATGACATAAATGTAAAATTATTAGCTCAGAAGATAGCACAGTATACCTTTATTCATACATTAAAAAAGTGTGAAAAACTAAGAATATGTAAGTGTTAGCATATCATAAAGTAACTTGGTGTCCTTAAATATCCTGTGTACTGTATATACCAGTATTTCCTGTAATGCCTCTACACAGTCAAGTCTGGACAAAAAAAAGGAATGTCCTCAGTTATATGTGAACACGCTCTACATAAATTCTGAAAATCAATTTTTCGCAGGATAAGACGAGCTGCAAATGAATCCCACTGCCAGCACCCGTGTCCAGGAAGCGTGTTTAGCTGCAGCCAGCTGTTTAATAAAATTCCCTCTTTTTAATTTCACATATAACCAGCTCAGTTGGTAGTAGTTTAGCAGCAGAGATGTCTTTCAACCAAAGCCTGCTTTAAAAAAAGTGGGGAAACAGTGAAGTGCAAGAAAAAGTTAGTGCAACAAAATAAAACCGAATTTTTCGCACAAAAACATCATTGAAATACTATCTTGCAGCCCTCATCACCCTGTTTTACATTTCTCTGTTGGAGGTTACTGTAAAATGTTGTAAAAGGTACATTTTATTATGAATGACGTGTGAACCTGCCAACCCTGAGTCCTCCATGGTGTTGGTGAAAATGGAGTAATTACCAAAGTAGGGTGATTAAAATGTCATTTCCTCTTGACAGGGGGTCTAATTATAGACGGCCCTGCTCCGATGACACCAGATACTGAAAGCATACATGGAAAAACCTTTATTCTCCTATTGTGACATGCTCAGGCTCATTTATGTCACTTAGTTCACATTAAGATTTTAATGGACAGGCCTCCTGTCAAATTTGCTCTGCTGAACAGTGAATATGAGGCTATTGTCAGTCTCTTCATGTGTCAAACCTAAGAATTCAAGGCAACTTTTGTGCCGTTCATGTGAACTCAAAGGATCCTAGAGGAAAAAAGCTGCAATGGATTTAGTTAAAGTTTTTATTCTTTTGATCAGAACTTAGAACTATTGGAGTATACCTTTCCCTATAACTTGTAATTTTTGCACTTTTTTTCCAAATAAATAAAATCAAATCATTAGAGTCAGAATACTGCCTGCTAAGTCAGAAAATTAAGACTTTTGATCTTGCTTTTTTTTTTATTTAAAACAATCAAACACTCCTTTTCTTTTACATAGGCTAAGTCAGAAAATTAAGACTTTTGATTTTGCTTTTTTTTTCAAATCTAACAAGTAACTTTACTATCGCTTGAGTCACTGAATTCTGAAAAATGTAATCAGAATTTGGAGTTTAGAAGATTTAGCAATGGGTTATCTTGTTTTTTTTCAGAATGTTGCCTTTGATAACATGCTGACTCCACAGATTTTAATTAATTAACATTTTTTTCTATTACATCACAAACTTTATTCCACATGTTTTTTTTTTTTTGTTTTTGTTTTTTTTGATCAGATATCTTTTTTTCAGGTGATTTCCCCAAAAAAGCAAAAGCCCACTTTTTGTTTGAATTGTAAAATTCCAATTTTTCAAATAATTTGATTAGAAAGTTTAATTGTTGAAGTAAAAATCCAATGTT